TCTCTACTATATATATATATATATATATATATATATATATATATATATATATTAGTTTTGAACATTAACACAAGGATATCATAATCATTTCTAGTTGTTAGATTTAAAATGGGAACGTTAAGAGTGCATGATTGATTAAGGTCATGTTTTTTTTTTTTTTAATTCTATGTTATACTTTAAGCTATCTGATTTCACATTTGATGGAATAAATTAATTGTGGCCTCCTTATATTTAAGATAAAATTTAAAGGCACATCTTAATTTGATTGTTTAAGGTTGCAACCTTATGCAAACTATACTCTATTTTAAATATAGATGATCTTACATACTAGAATCCCCAATGAAATTCAACTTGGGGTTACCTTGGGTACCCAAATTTTGCGGGACGTGATCACTTTAGTTTACCGACTAACTTTAAGAAGAAAAAAAAAAAAATTGAAACTGAAATCTGCCCAAAAGAAATAATATCGTAATATACTATAAAAATTTTAGTGGGAAAAAGTTTATGTAAGGTGTCAACTTTGTACTAGTAAAGTGCACATAAAAAATTACATGGAAGAGAGTGTTCTGATGTTGAAAAATCCTTCACTTTGATAATCTCAGCCTCAAGATTAATGGATATAAAGAAAAAAGAAGAATTTTTAAGTATTAAAAATAGTTCAGCTTGTAACTAGTTATTAGAACCGCCTATTTTCAAAATTTTCAAGTGTTTATAGATGTGTTTGATCTGCATCATTTTTGAAATTTTAAATTTCATAATTAAAAATAAAAATAGGTTTTTGAGTAGTTCAGACTTAATTCTAAAATGTACCCAGCTACAGTATACCAAGGGCACCTTATACGACCCTCACTCTTTTTAATGAGCTGGGTGTTTAACAACTCAAAATTCAAAAATTTTTTGTAAAAATAATCATATTTTCAGGTGGTTCTCAAAGAAAGCCTCTTAAGTAGCTCTCGTGTGAAGAAGTAACACTACAGTGTGCTCCAGGACTTAATCGAGCTCGACAACTTTGTGGATACCTCCGAGAGTGATGTTTTTGTGGATACCGCCCATCACAGAAAGGGACGTTTGGTGGATAACCGCCCAACGTTGTGTTCTAGGCCTCATGAGCTCACATTGTTCACATGGTTTATGTACCCCTTTTGTTTTGTTTTCGGGAAAAGATCAAGTGAGTGCTATTCTCCCTTAATATAAAATTCCCTTTTAGATGTCGTTTTAGGATACAAATAAATCTCAATATATTTTGAAAAGGATGGGTTTCTATGACGCAGCTAACTCATATGTACACGTGCGGCCCCTCTCAAAAATTCACCCATTCACCTAAATGATGGATTTTTTATCCCAAAATATGGGAATATTTTTTTTGACCTTTAAAATATGCATTTTTGTGGATTATTTTTGGCACCATCCATATTTGATTTTACTCCGTGCGTTTTACACAACATCCATATTAAATATGGACATTGAAGAGTCAGCACGCTCTTGCACCCATTGACTCATGGAAGATTTTTCCTTTTGAAAAAGTATATAACAATATTATTTAGTTTCGGTGCAAGGTGATCACAATCATTGATGTCACGTCAGATTTTAAGTTAGGTAGTTGTGAGTGCGTCCTTGATTAGACTAAAAGTCCAAAAAATATTTCTCGTATTCTGTATTTGTAAGACACCCAAGGCATCTAATTTGACATGTAGTTACTAGGAGTAATTGTGACTCGCTTATAATAAAGATAAATGATCCCATAGTATACAATCCCATGTATTTTTCCTTTACATCCATTGTTTTTGTGCTCGATAAAGAGTAGAAAACTATTCATATGTGGAGAACTAAAATAAATGGAAATGAATACTTTAAAAATTCCATAATAGTCAATTTTTAAAGGGAAAATATCTCCATAGACCCAATTTTCAACTTCCATTTCTTTCTGAACCCAAAATTTCAAAACATATATTCTAACCCCCCAAATAACTTTATCTATTTTTATTCCAACTTTTAAGCCAAACAAATTAAAAAAGACACCTTTTTTCTAACTCTCTCCTCACTTGTTTCAATGTCTCTCATCACGTGTTTCTCTCTCTAGACTCGTCATGCTCAGAACCTCTCTCTTCTTCTTCTTACCCACCTTCTCTCTAGCAGCTCTCTTGCTCTTACTCTCGACCTACAATGAGGTCACCATCTTCTGCCTCTATCTCCCTTTTCCGGCAAAGCCCACATCGGAAAACGCACATTTCTCATCGAAAAAAATAGAATCTCTCTCTCTCTCTCTCTCTGAAACTGATCTTTGCATGCTTCTTCAAAGTTAACTGTAACAGAAAGAGATAAAAATTGGAGCTTCTTTTTGGAATGTCTTCAAAAGTTGATCCCAATGGATTGATCTGTAGAGAAGTGGAAGAAACCGATAACGAAGCGAATCCCCTTATAATTTTCAGGGTTTTGGACTGTCTGCAAGTGTTTGGCCTTGGCTGATGAAGCTCTCGAGCTAAGTTCTTTGAAAGCAATTCTCATTTTGGTTAAGTCAGGGTCTATCTGGATTCGTGGTGATTTTCAGGTTTGTGTCATCAAGAATTGGTTCAGTTTTTTCAAAATTTCATCAATGGAGTAATTGATGATGATCTGTGATGCACGGATAGTGTAGTGGTCTCCTTGTTTTTTGTAACGGGGCGGGTTGTATAGAGCCTAGGCTCTAAACAATCAAATTAGAGCCTACCTTCCAATAGTATCAAGAAATGTGGTTTCAATATTGGAAATCTTTGTGATAGCCTTAAAATATATTTTCATATTTGCTTATAAAGTTTAAAACTTAAAAAATAGTGTGGATCGACAGATCTATGAAAACTTGAAAATCGACGGTCAAAAAATACGTTACAAAACATACTATTTCTAAAATTTGAAGTCCATTTTTTCTCATGTCCATGCATATTGATATTGATATGATCAATTTGAGGATATTTGAGCATCAAAACAAGCTCTTCTAGTGAAATTTTTGACGTAGGCTCCAATTTGATGGTTTAAAGCCTCAGCTCTATATAAATCTTTCCCTTTATTTAATTGTTGAATGGGTCAAGTACTATTTGTGGTAGAAGTGATTTAGTGGTTGAGTTGTAATGGGTTTCTAATTCTTAGGAGTAGGCATAAAAAGTGGAAACTTGCTCCACATCTATCGACTCTC